AGGAGGAGGAGGAGGAGGAGGAGGAGGAGGAGAAGTAAGAGAAAGAAGAAGAGGATAGAAAAAAAACTGCTGAGAAGTTACATTGTTACTACAGTGATGTTTTATTTCGTCGAAGACATACCTTATTTATTCCATGCCGTCATGACGAAGGTAAGGTATTTTCTTGGACCAAAATATCCCGTCACATAAAATCTTATTACGTTTTCTGCTTCACCGCCTGAGGGGAGTTGATTTTCTCACGGGTGTGCAATTATAGCATCCAGTCCTTACTACAGGTAACGTGCATTCTACTGGAGGGCTCCCAAGAAAACAAAATAGCTAGACGGGTCAGAGACTGATACAAATATCCCAAAGAGTACATAGAACCCCCCCCCCCTCCCATTCCCTTTTCCATTTTTTTCTCCCCCAGAGAGTCATACCCGTTCTCAGACCCTCCCCACCTTAAAATGCCACCATGACAAACACCAAAACGTCAGCGAGCAAACACAGGACTAAAAAAATCAAAATACCCCTCTCCCCCCAAAAAAACAAAGAAAAAATCCAACAACAACAACAACAACAACAACAACAACAACAACAACAACAACAACAACAACAACAACAACAACAACATCACGAATAAACTAATGACATAAAAAACATTTCAAAATCTCCCTCCCCACATTAATAAGCCAATTTTGATTTATTTGACAACTTGTTGAGAATCTAAACTGCTGGCCAAGAAGCTGTGCGTCATTAATGTATATTAAGCTTTTTTTATTTTGGGGTCTCGTTAATTGTACGTACGTTTAATATGAAATTCGCTTTAAAAAATCGGTTTTTGTGCGTGTTTTCCCTCGGCTTCATCAAGCATGCTACGGTATATTTCGTCTGTGGTGTTGTTGTTACGAGCTTTGCTGTCTGACGAAGGAGGCTCGAGTTCGATTGCAATGTGAGAGAACTTTTACTGTTTATCTCGATCTTTCTGCTGGGATGTTGTATCCTTCTCAGCCAGGGTGGAACTGACAGTCAGGGTCGAAGGCAGCCTCCTTATTTTACTTATACTTTATTCACCCTCTGTTGCCGTTAAGCGACGATGGGAGATGCAGTTTTCTATGGTAGACCAGCTCTGCAGTTCTTTCAGTTGAGATATTATATTTCTCAAAGTTTCCTTGGCTCCCTCAAACCTTCTTTTGCGTGGTCTACCTCTTCCTTTTATAGCCTGAGTACTTGATGTTGTGGGCTCTCGAAGCTAGCTGGCTAAGTAACTTTCGTAACAGGTGGCCGAACCATTAAATTCTCTGTTTTTTTCTGTGAACTGCAGGCAGGACTCGGAGCCAATAGTTGCTGTTACTTCTTCATTCTTCTGTCTCCACTTTTGATGTTAAGGGTTCTGCAGAGACATTTAATTTCGCATGCAGTAATTTTGTTTTCATGGGTAGGTCTGGCACTGATAGCACAATGTTGGCCTAAATATTGAAAAGATAAGCTGTGTCTTTGTGTCCATGGATAAGATAGAAGAGGTGCGAGCTGGAACGTGACGGTTTTCGCATTTTGATTTTGCATTTTCATTTCTCTGTCTGAGGGCCCATTTTCAGAATAAGTGCTGCCAAGATAATTATTTAAACCCCTTCACTTGTTTCAGTTGTGTACTATTAACATAGCTATTCAAGAGACTCACTTTTTTAACTTCTGTTTTTGAAGTACTCATTTTAATGTAGTTTTTTTCTTTCATTTTTCACTGTTGTTGTTGAATTCGGTATTGGGATTTTGGAGGCTGTGTTGGTTTGGATGAAATAAACATTGGTTGTCTGCGTAAACAGAAGTTCATTTAGGCTTAAACATCTAAATTGTGTTAATCGTACATTTTAAAAAAAGCATTTATTGGTAATATCTTGCCTTTGCTTCTCAAAGACTTACATTTTTCCGTAGTCATGCGTGCTTGGAAACAAAATAATTGCTTCGCGTGCGTTATTGTAACCCTTTAAACTTGTTTCAGTCAGGCAAACGCTATGGTTTACGCCGTGGGTCAATGTGCTCATGATACTTTACAGTGAGAGTAATTAGTTGCTTGTAGCCTTAGCCCATTTTGTCGTCCCTTTGCGTTCCTTTCTTTTTCCCGGAGACGCCCCCTTTCCTCCATGATATCAGACATAGGAGAGAGGTTGGTGCGCGGGGTGTGCATGTTTGAGCTGGTTTTTTACATTTTTGTTCAGCCTGTTGATTATGTTTTTACACAAGGGGCACCTCGTTTTGATTTAAGTTTTTCGATTGAGTGGACAAGAGTTCCTCAAATGGTTTCTCAGTAAATGTACACGCATTTACTCGGGTCGCTCTTACAACTTAGTTCAGTGCACAACTTAACTGTCTTTGTTGGGGGTGGGTTTGTTTTTATTTGCCAAGTAGGTTACAAAGCTTAGGGATCTATTGCTCAGATTAGTCCTTGGGGAAAACCTAGTGCTTCAGAAGTGAAAAGGGGCGTGGAAAGCATTTTTGTGTGTTTGTTGGTGGAGGGGGGGG